AGTGTGGAGAATATGAGTCTGTTAAGTTTAGGCATTGAGCTGTGATGGTTATGTTTAGTAGAAACCCACCGGTAAGGAGACAGATCCCATGAGTGCTCCTGAGAAGAACATTGAATCGAGCAGGCAGCACTGATCGGGTATTTACAAGGTTCCTAACTGAGTGAAATGACCTGGAAGTGTTTAAGTGGCAGCCACGATAAGAGCGGGCTGAATTCTCTAAATGCATTTAAAGCAACTCACTATTGTAGTTTCACTACGACAAACGCACATAAATGTGCAGGAGCATCTAAAAAATATTAGAATATCTTGGAAAAGTTTATTTGAACTGAACCAGACTGAGAGATTAAAGGATCAGGAAACATTTGCAGGTGTTCTGAGTTAATTAGCTGATTAGAGCTCTTCTCAGGTCGACTTTTCTCTATTCTGAAGTCTTTATTCTAACTTTTTGAATTGAATAACAGAAAAAAATTAACTTTTCCGTGACATTCAAATGTTTTGATGCACCTGTAGAAACAACAGAGCATCTATTTAACAAATGTATAAAAATATCAAAAGCACCCATCCCAGGAAACTCTATATTTATGTTTGAGTATAATTCACTCAACTTTCTCTACTTGTATATTTTGTTATTATATTGTGTCAGCATTTTAATCCTTTTTGTTTTTTCAGCAGTATCTATGTTGTTGTTACTTCCTATGAGCAGCCTAACTGATGGTTAAATGTACCAAATGAAACATCCTTTCTTAGGAGGTGTGATTCTGTGTTGGACAGGAAACCTTTTGAAGTGAGCAGCATTGAGTTTGTCACTGTACTCATCTTCCGCGTGTTATAAATAAAGTTGGTTAAAAAGAAGCTGGTGTAAGTGCAGCCTGGTTCTCTGAGCACCGCGGTTGTCTTTTATGAATTCTCCTTCACATCTTTCCTTGACCTCATGACGTTTTCCATCAAAGTCAAGGAAAAGTGTTTAGGAAAGGACAGAGGATGGATTTTTTTACCATTACAATGTTTGTATTTATTAATGTTTCATGGTTTTATGTTATGTTGTGAGGACAAACATGACCACAGTTTCCAGGTTCAGTTCGTCCACAGACACATTTTAAATCTCCAAACATGCTGAACAAAGAACAGCCTGAAGATTATTGAAATAATTATTGATTACATGTAACAGAAATCAAAAGTTTGTGTCTATAACCATTGACATTGCATCCGTATTATAAAGTGAAGATCACTGGAACTAACTAGTAATGACTCAAGTGTTACGACATGATCTAGTCATGATTTGTGCAACCAAACACTAAAGTCACTTTAGTATACTTTTAGAAAATGTCTTTAGTAACACTTGAGTCATTACTAGTTAGTTCCAGTGATCTTCACTTTATAATACGGATCCAAATAATTAGTAATTCCCACAGAAGTATGTAGTAATACTTTCATCTGTGAGCTATTACTTACTAATTCGTTAATAAGAGTTTATTTTAGTTAATAGTAGTTACTAGATTGTTAATAAACTTTTTCTCTGGGATAAAGTAGTTCTCTGGGAAGTATTAAAAAAAATAGTAGTTATTGATTAGTTAATAGTGAAGTACCACTTTCACCTGTGCGCTATTACTTACTAGTTAGTTAATCAGAGTGTCTTGTTAGTTAATAATAGTTAATAGATTGTTAATATTGTGTTACTCATTGGTTCTTGTGTAGTTATTCATTAACGAAGGAACCGTATTCTAAAGTGTTACCCAACAGATTTAAGCACTAGATCTCTTATTTAATAGCGCAAACTAAATGAATGCTCTGCTAGTTAACTGGAGATGTTTTATTTATTTGTATTAGGTACATCCGTGCCTCAATGTTTCAAAAAGTGGTGGGTCAGCAGCAGGTAATAATTATGATAATAAGGCTTGATACCGGGAGCTTGAGAAGCCGCTGCACTGTTGTGTGCCGCCATGTTATTATTTAGTGTCTGCGTTTTTCCAAACAATTTTAAATATTTTTGGACCTTGATGTTATAACTATGGTATGGTATGGGGCCACCCTGTAACCTTTAATAATTAAAGGTTAAAAATAAACATATTGCATTTGGTACATTATTGTTATATTGATAATACTAATTATATTTCATTTATGTTTGATATTATTAAACAGTAATTAGGCAATTTTATCACTGATCATTGTAATGCAGTCTTTGGTCACCTTGTTATTGAGGAACTCCCCAAAATCTCAACAAATTGTGCCAATCCTTACATGTTACACCAGGTTGATCCATCATCACAAGTGGAGAAGTCTGTGACAGAGGAGACAGAAGAGCAGGAGAGAGAAATAAAAGAGCAGGAGAGAGAAATAAAAGAACAGGAGAGAGAAATGGAGCAAGAGAAAGAGATTGAGCAAGAGAGAGAGTTGGAAGACCAGGAGAGTGAGAGCCAGGGCATAGATTACTTTGCTCGCCCTGAACCCGCCATATTACAGGCATTCTTAGATTACCACCCACAGCAGAACACCAGCAATGCAGTAGTGATGAGGGTGTTCAGCCGTAAAGATGGCACCAGCAGGAAGTGGCTTACTTATTGCAAAGAACGCCATTTATTGTTCTGCTTTGTGTGTCTGGCATTTACAAGGCGGACTGACACCAGCGCATTTATAACAGGCATGAATGACTGGCGACATGTACATCTGCGCGCAGAGGAGCATGAAAAGAACACTACACACCAGACCTGTGCTGAAGCTTTTTTCTTAAGGTGCTCAAAAGGCAACATCAGCAACTTGTTTGCTGGCAGTCAGTTGTCAGCTCACAGAGCACAAGTGAAAAAGAGACGGCAAGTTTTGGAGCGTATAGTGGACGTGGTCAAAGTACTAGGGAAGAGGGGACTCAGCTATAGGCATGTGGAGAATGAGGCTGCATACACTTTGGGTGATAACACTATCGATCATGGTAACTTTCTGGAACAGATTGTGTTATTAGGCAAGTATGATATGTGCCTTAGAGAACATTTGAATGACTGCATTGAGAAAAGCAAGAAGTTGCATCAGTCCAGTGGATCAAGAGGTAGAGGGTCTCTCGTCACCCTACTCTCCAAAACAACTGTCAACTCAGTGATTGATGCAATTGGCCATTTCATTCAAGAGAGCATCACCAGTGATGTCCAGAGAGCTGGGATGTTCAGCTGGACACAACCCAAGACATCACAGGTTATGATCAGTGTTCAGTAATTATCAGGTATGTTACTGAGGCTGTGCAGGAGAGGCTTGTCTCCATAGTGAGGTGAGAAGCATCCACGGGGCAGTACTTTGTAAACTTGCTTTCTGGAGTTTTAGAGCATCTGAATCTGGACAAGGCCATGTGCATTGGGAATGCAACAGATGGTGCTTCAAATATGCAGGGCCAGTACAAAGGCTTTTCAGCACTTATGACTGCCCAGTCTCCAACTCATGTGCATGTGTGGTGCTATGCACACATACTTAATCTTGTGCTTGCTGACACAACACAAAGTGTCATTGAAAGTGGATCACTCTTTAATTTACTTAATGACATAGCTGTGTTCATCAAGGACTCCTATCACAGGGTTAATCTGTGGGAGAAACAAACCCAAGAAGAGACAAGACACAGACGCCTCAGTCCAATAGGTGAGACACGGTGGTGGGCCAAGCATGATGTCCTCCAAAAAATCTTTGGACATTTTGGAAAACCAGATGATGGCCTCTTCATTGATGTAGTGCTCACGCTGGAAGCCATTGAAAAGAGGGAAAAAGAAAAGCCAGCTGTTCGTGCCAAAGCACAAGGCTTTAAAGTGTCTCTTGAAGCATAAAACTGTCTTAACAGCACAGATATTTCTTAGTGTTTGAGCAAACAACTCCTCTGTCGAAGTACCTCCAGTCAACGGCGATGGACATTCTCTCTGCCCATCATATGGTGACTGCCACACAAGATAGCCTCAAAAGTAGCTGCAGACACATTTGTGAAACAGACAAATCAGAAACTCGAGGAGAGGGAGGACAACACAGACATGGAAGTGGAGGCTGCACTACCTGTAAAGAGAGCCAAGAAGAGAAAACGCATGGCCAGAGAGATGACTGAAGATGAGTTGCAAATCAATGCTGAGAAAACAACACCCTCCTGGACACAGTTATTGAAGCAATCCACAGACGATTTGTCACAAATGGCCCTCTTGTTGCGGATTTGGCATGGTTGGACCCCAGGAAGTTTAGCCAGGTCAGAACAGTTTCTCTTCCTAGTAATGCACTTCAAAACCTCAGCACATGTCTCCTCAAATTTGACAGCAGGGCTACAGTAAATAACCTTCAGTCAGAACTGAAAAGTTTTGCAGGACAGTGGGAAAGGCTTAAGACATCACATGTAGATGACTACAGGACCAGAACAGCAAAGGACAGATCTGAAGAATGGGACGAAGAAAGTGAAATTGTGACCAAAAGCTGTGATTCTTGCAAAAATTGCCCACTGTGCTGCTATCAAATTCTCAGGCGGTTCAACATGCTGTCTGATGCCTACTGTCTCCTTGGGCTGGCATACAAGTACCTGCTGACCCTCTCTCTCACTCAGGTTGCCTGTGAAAGAACATTCTCTACACTCAAGTTCATTAAAAGCAGACTCCGAAGCAGCCTGTCTAGAAACAGGCTTGAGATGTTTATGCTGATGGCCACTGAAAAGGACATTCTCATGTCATTGGACTCCGACATGGTCATTGACAGGGTAGCTGAGAAGAGTGACCTGCTAAAGCTGCTGTTGTAACCTGGTGGGGTGAAATAAAATTATGAAAACATTCCTAATTATGTTTCAGTTAAGATTAAATTCAACTTTATTGTTGTTGCCTAAAAGTACAGTCAAATGAATAGGTTTTGTCTATCTTCACTTCAAACAAGTCATGTGCTCAGAAAATGCTTAGAATGTGTACATCTTAATAGGTTTTAATGCATAAGACAGTAGATAGAATAAATATTAGATAATATAAATATGAGAGTTTTCTTACAGCCTTAATCTGTCATTGTTTCGTTTCAGACTGTCAGTCAATTTTGGAAGCCTGAAGTGGGTTCATTTTAAGTAAGTACTATATAGAATATGATTCAACCATTTCTCTAGAGTAAACATACCAGTAGTGTCATCGTCTAAAAAAACCCATTAAGTGCAAGTCTTTCTCACCCTTCGCTGTCTGTCCTTTCTCTTCTTAAAGGTTTCCATATGTTAAGATATGTTCAGTGTTGCTGCTGTGGAAGTGTTGTGGTTGACTTTTTATTGATGCAGTGAGTAAATAGTCTTTGGTGATACAATTCAATCACAATCTGTCCTTAACAGATTTTAATATTTATCTAATCGTTGTTCCTCTCTGTCCTGTTTTTTCAGGGTCTAATCATTCTTTAAGAGGTTCTCTAGACCATGCGACTTTTTAAGTTCCTACGTAAGTACTACTGTATATGATTCAGCTATTTTTGTGGAATAAAGATACAAGTAGTGTGATCATATGAGCAAGTCCAACAAATGCCATTGTAGCCCAGGCTTAATAATGAGAAACACTATTTAGCTGTCTGACCAAGTCACTAAGGGTTACCTTTTATTTTTCTCAGCATCTTTGATGGGCTTGTAAGTTAGCAAATGGGTGGACGTTATGATGCAGTGAGCTGACCAATCAGCTGCCAGCTATGTTCCGTTACAATTACGCCTCTCGGTCTCTGCACCTTCTTTTGGCGCCTGTACCTGAGCGTAGGAGGCTGCGTTTTCCCCTCGGTAAGACGAGAAACGACATGGAGTGAATTAAACAAATTCTGTGATCATTATCGCTTATACTGACTATACCCTGTTGTAATATAGAGAGTAAATGAGAGCTGTGCCTGAATCCACTGTTGTCACGGAGCTAAAGGCGGTGAATTCTGCTAAAATGGTGAGTTGTTTACCTTGCGCTAGGCCTTTGAGTTCGCTAGCGTCCATGTTAACAGGACAGGCTTTTGAGGCCCATTTGTATTTAATCTAGCCTGCTGAGTTTACTGGGAGTTCGCTAGCATTTATGCTAATCGGTGAAGCTATGCAAAGGTGCTAATTGTGTAAAGCTAATGTGAGACTGCTGTATTCGTATGCTAATAGGGTAATTAACCACAATAAGCTAGCGGAATACTCTTTAATGCCTGTGAAAATTACAAATTATTTTGTTTGTGGATTATAAAAGGAATTGTTACCTTTCCATGTTGTTGCTAAATGGTTACTTTGAAAAAATAATGATGTTAAAAACTGTTGTTACTGGAAGTTAAAGAGGTAAATTTTTAGTGCATTCTTTCCACTGTTACCGGTGCAGAGGGGGATAAATAGCACGCTAACACCTTAATGCCTCTAATTTGAAGTAATATGATTTGATCAATGTTTATATGCAATGCCTGCAGTTTATTTATGACACTGTTAATGTTACTTAGGGTTCATAAAACTTAGTGTTTATGTCAAGGATGTAATTTTTGATGTACATGTACTTTTGATAATTGAGAAAGTCATACTTTTTATATATAAGAAGAAACAAGAAGCTGTTGTACAATGAGAGAGCGATTTTGATATTGCATTATATTATTTTATTTTATAGTAGCCTGTAGCAGTCCATGTATTCGCTGAATGGTAATTGAGAGAAATGATTTGGCCTTGTTTATAGGTCAGGTTTTGGTAAAGAGTTGGAAGCCTTGTGCAGCTGAGATCCATTCCACGGAGTGATGCCAATCTACACGTTCCAGACGTTTTTACAGAGCTTTGTGGATTCCCAGTCTAGGTGGCTGGGTGGCGAGCCAACCGTGTTTGTGACTCTGACTTTAGACGGATTGCCAGGATCTTCCTCATCTTCATGGTGGTAGGACAAACACTAACACAAACTTAAAAGGGCCCCAACGGTGAGAAATGAACTCTTGTCAATAAAGGCAAGTGGAACTAAGGATGAACTGAGCTCAACAAAGTTAAAAGGAAAGTTTTTTTTGTGCGCACTTTATTATTTTAGTTTGTTATTTTTCATACCTGCTTTCTTATGTATGTACCATCCCTGTGTATTTAATACACTTAATGCAAACTGTCATTCGGGTGTGGTATTCTTTTTATTGACATTCAATTCTCAGGCTCTTAACAATTTAGTGACTTCTGATTCTGGTCCACATTGATGATAAGACTACTTTAGACTATTACACCTATGTACATTATTACTACCTCGTGATAAGGGTTACACCATTCTTTCTCACCCTTCTCTGTCCTTTTTACTTGTGTCCTGTTTTTCAGGGTCCCATCATAATTTCTTAAGAAGTAAGTACTGTATATGATGTCAGTATTTTCCAACATTTTCTAAATACTGTACCAGTACTGTGTAAAATGCCATCAAAAAGTCAATTAAGTGTTATTCTTTTTCACCTTTCTTTCTTTGTCTCCTTTCACTTTTTAAAGGCTGCCATGTTAAAAAAAATATTTTGTGCCGCCATGCTGTCTGTTGATGTGGTAAATAAATAGTTTATGAAAATACCACTAAATCTGTCATTTATTAATTTTAATATTCATTAATGATCATGTCTCACCTCTAGTCTTCTCTGTCTTAATTTCAGGTTTCCACCATGTGTTGTAGATAGTTCAGGAGGAGGTTAACTTGACCAAGCAGTCTTTTGTTTTCCGCTAATTACTGTTTAGAATACCAGAATAGGGAGGATGATGTAGGTTTAAGTTTATTAGATTGATACATATATACCAACAAGACAGTGTACATCGCTGTCAGAACAGCGTTTGTTTTCATTCAAAGGCTTTATGGCTTTGCCAATAATACTTGGTGGGCCGGTCTCTAGTCAAAATGCCCGGGCCGATTTTTTGTCCAGCCCTGTCTATAACTATAATTTTCAGGACCAATTAGAGTTTCAGACCTTGGGAGTGAGGACATTTTGTCTGTCCTCACTTTGGGACAGACCTAAAAGAGTGTTTTAGGGTGAAGATTAAATAAGGTTTAAGTTCAATGAAGGTTTGGGTCATTTAGTTGTGATGGTTAAGAGTTAGGGACAAAGCTATACTGTGAGAGACAGAGAGAGCTCTCTGCTGGCTGTTGACTCCAGAGCGCCATCATGAGGTCAGTCTGTGTTTCTGTTTCTTTTGTTTTTAATTCAAAGAAATCTCAACATCTACTGAACAGACTGATATTTTTGCACATGAATTTAAATACTTCCAGTAGTGGAGTGTAATAAGTACATTTACAAGTTCATACAAAGATGATCTAGTTAGTAATCCATTATGCTTCCTCATCTCTGTTGGGTCTGTGGTCACTTTTCCATCAGGGAGGCGGAGACACACCATTTGTTTTTTCAAAACTGACTTCTCTAAATTAAAGAAAGTGGATTGTGCATCTACAGGTGCATTTCAGAAATTTGAATATCTTGCACAAGGTATTTTTATTTTCATAATTTAAGTCAAAAAGTGGAACTTTCTCGAGTCAATCACAAATTTTAAATTCCTTCTCTAACATTTATTTTTAAAGTAACACACAACATTTTACATAATATTTGTTCTTGATGTTTTTCTTTATTGAAACAATGAACAAAAAAATGAAGCAACTGTTTCATTTAACAACCCATTTATTTTTCTTAAGTGAAGAAATAATTTTCTCAATAAAACATTTTCCAGCAAGTTTGCATGACAATACAACAAGGTATAGTTCACCCTAAGACTCATTTTGTTATCAATTACTCACCCTTTTGTCAATAGAAGGATTGGTGAAGTTTTGTTAACATCCGTGTTCTTCTGCGAGTTTGAGACACATTTTTTTTCCACTCAACTGCAGTGAGCGGTATCTTAGCTTCAAACGTCCAAAAATACATCAATAATCAATAAAATGTCTCCATGCTGCTTGTCTGAGTGTCCTGTAGCTCACACATGCCAAGACGTTTGTAAAAAACATTACAAACGTGTGTTCAGCTTAGTTTGCTCTGCTGCTCGTCCCATGCGTGCTCCTTCCAACGCCACACACTACTAGTAACACTACTAACTTTCCATCCTAAACATTTGAAATAATTTCACTAAGTTTAGGAAGTTTAGAAATTTTGTCTTTGAATCATACAAAAAGGAGAAGACTGCCAACTGAGGAGGAAAGAGGAAGCGTTCAATCACATCCCCAATACAACTCTATGGGAAAAGCCCGTAACGGCAAAGATGGCGGTTATCCCGCCCCTCCCGCTAAAAAGCCAATCATCTGCTTTAAACAGCCAAAACGGGAATCATATTTCAGCCAATCGTGTGGTTCCACTGACGCATGCTTAGTAGAAGTATAACCGGTGGGGAAAAACTCTTTTTAAACATTATTTTGGGGCAAAGTCGTCAAACTTTTTCAGGGATTTTTATCAGATTTTACTGCTGATTCTATTCATGTAGTTTTTATGTCCCAGTGACCAGTGAAAGCTCAGTTCTGGCTCTCTCCCCATTCATTCAGATAGGAGCCTGGTTTTGTTAGTATGAAATTGCTGCCCAGAAGCGTTGCCAAGATGGCTGCCGAGTGGCATGACTTGCCTAAAAGGACTTTGGTACCGATAACAGCTGAGGTTTGCACTCGCTTGTACACGCACAAACAACCTGTAGTAAATCTGGCCTTATGGACCTTATGCACAACTCTAGTGATTCCTGAACTTTATTTCCTGTCTCTCAGTATTGGAAACACTGAATAATACAGAGAAGAGAGGACAGAGGAAAGAGAGAAGGGAGGATGGACGAGGAGAGTGGAAGAAAGAGAAGGGGAGAGGAGAGGAGAAAGGAGAGGTAATCATTACCCCAAATTTCACTCTGGTTTTCATGTCAGGAATATGATTTAATTCACTGATATTTTAGATTTATTTCTTATGAGATATTGAGTTAATTTAGAGACTTTTAGGAATGCATTCCCACTCATGCACTGTGTAATAAGCCATATAGTTTAATTACAACTATGAAAATATCTATTTGCCATCTCCAATTGAAAGAACCACCAGAATGCACTTACAATAAAGACGACTTATTGAAAGGATGCATTTTGTTTCTTTTATTGAGTTGTTATAAAAGACAATGATCAGCCTTCGGTATCCAACACACTTGATTCTGTCAATTTTTATTTGTTTTTGCTTTTCATGCATTATACAAAATTTCATCAAGCAATTTACAATTTTATCATTCAAGTAAACTTATTGATTGTTTAAATACATAATTTGGTAAATTTAGATAAAAATTTGGTTCTTTTTATCGTATGAATACTGGGCTGGACCCGAATATTCGACCGCTGGGTACACATTCGATTTTCAATTATGAGATTCGATTACTGAGGGTTTTTTCCGCGCGCCTGACCTTCGCCGACAGCAGTGAACGTAACGCTCCAGTTCACAAAGGGAACACGAAATGAAGCCCTCAGCTGTGTGGGAGCACTTTAAACTGAATGATGACAGCAGTAGTGTGGAAGTTATGGTGTTTATTGATTTTACAATTGCTTAATTGCATTACAGATCAAAACAGTCAAAACTATGATATCCTGGATCTGCATTGGTTGGTCCTCTGAGGGCATTACTCTTAACTGCTTCAAAGTAACTGTATGCATTGAAACTTTAACTCAACCTTTCCTAAACTATCGGTTGGGACCCAAAGTGAAATGTCAATTTTGTGAATTTATTTTCCTCAGTTCAGCTCAGGTGCGTCTCTCTCTACCTCTATTTTTTACCCTCTCTCCATTTCTCTCCCTGACTCTCACAGACTCAAACACAAAAACCTTTTTTGTTCTCATGTAAACAATTAAATGTGACTAATTTCAAAGTTCAGTTTCCTATTTCTGCGGGAGGCGAAGGTTGAATATATGTTTGAGCTGAAGGTGCAGTTTTTGAATACACATGCAACAACTTCAAATCTCCTCAAATGGCTTCCAAGATATTCAAAATATTGCCTCTCTGAATAAAAACAAGCGGAAAATTTTGAATCTGGAAAATACAGACAGAAATAAATCAAATCTCATCTGAACTAGATTTTCATATCAGCATAAAAGTCAGCTTAAAACTAAGAATGAGAGGTGCATAGGGTTTTAGATTTACCTTACATTAGCCGTTCAAATCAGATATTGTAGCAGGAGAACTTTTCTGGTGGAGGCTGTAAAATACAAAGAAATCTATTAATGCATCATACTCAAAGCTACTTTAATGCCAGGCATAATGGAGAATCATCAGATTGTCCTTTCAACTTTTGTATGCATTACATTTTATGCAGCGCAACACATAACTTCATAAATCAAAATATATTCTGCTTCATTTTAATTTGGAATAGTACAGTGAGGAAAATAAGTATTTGAACAACCTGCTATTTTGCAAGTTCTCCCACTTAGAAATCATGGAGGGGTCTGAAATTGTCATCGTAGGTGCATGTCCACTGTGAGAGACATAATCTAAAAAAGAAATCCAGAAATCACAATGTATGAGTTTTTAACTATTTATTTGTATGATACAGCTGCAAATAAGTATTTGAACGCCTGTCTATCAGCTAGAATTCTGACTCTCAAAGACCTGTTAGTCTGCCTTCAAAATGTCCACCTCCACTCCATTTATTATCCTAAATTAGATGCACCTGTTTGAGGTCGTTAGCTGCATAAAGACACCTGTCCACCCCATACAATCAGTAAGAATCCAACTACTAACATGGCCAAGACCAAAGAGCTGTCCAAAGACACTAGAGACAAAATTGTACACCTCCACAAGGCTGGAAAGGGCTACGGGGAAATTGCCAAGCAGCTCGGTGAAAAAAGGTCCACTGTTGGAGCAATCATTAGAAAATGGAAGAAGCTAAACATGACTGTCAATCTCCCTCGGACCGGGGCTCCATGCAAGATCTCACCTCGTGGGGTCTCAATGATCCTAAGAAATGATCCATCCGAACATGTTGGGACCTGTTGGTCAGAAAGTCCAATAACCTGCAGACAGAAGCTCTGATGCCCAGATCTGTGAGTTTGGTGATTAACAGAAGGGATGACAGTGTTAAATGCTGAGCTGAAGTCTATAAACAGCATTCTAGCGTATGTGTCTTTGTTGTCCAGGTGTGAGAGGACAGTGCTATGGAGACTGCATCTTCTGTGCTTCTGTTCTTGCGGTAGGCAAAATGGTGGTGGTCCAGGGTGGGGGGAAGACAGGATTTGAGATGAGCCAGATTCAGCTGCTCTAAGCAATTTAGTTAGTGAGCTGGATTGACTATTATAATGACATTGTTGTCACTCTTTCTACCAATAGGCCGCAGCAAGTAACATTACTGTAGTGAATGGTTCTTCTACTGTGTTGTTGTCCTAAGCTGTTATTTTACATTATTGTTTAAAATGTGAATCACGTAAGTTGAATGTTGCAAAGCAAACAGCGGCAGGTCCAAGCTAAAGTAGCTGCTCCTGCCTTACATCAAAGCTAGTAAAAACAAACTTGTCCACATTTGCTTTTTACCGTTACATCTTTTCTTG